ATTTATTCGAGGAGCGCTCCCATTCCTTGTGGAATAAATTTGTTCTTTCACACGTTCATTGGTTGCGACACTACCTCTTCCTTTCCTGTCTAGACAAAATGAAGATGCGTCCTTTCAAAATAGCTAGTTCTTTTTGATGACGCTACCACGTTTCTGAACTATGACTCTACTCATAAACCTCTGTTAGTGGTAAATGTCTCAGGGGGCTGTATGGAGGAGGATAAGATTTGTCCGATCTGCTGCCAACGCCAAAGTCCATCTAGCTTGTTTGCGCCCAACCAAAGATGCTGCTATCCAACAGTCCTACATAACCAACCTCTAGGTGCATAAGTGGTTGGGAGTAGAGAAAGAGCAAATCAGTGGGGGTGTACAAGAAACTAGCAGCATCAATCCACATCCTGTGTCAGTGTGAAGGTCTGACTATATTTTTAACACTAGGCGAATAAAAGCCATAAGCGTGTATGCGGAAGCCACTGTCAAAGTTACTGAGCCTAATCACTCGAACTGTAAGTCATTTTGAATATAATGTATTTCTTTAGATGTTAACCTCAGGATTTCTACTATCTGTTCTTTTCTTTTAATAAATGGTGACCATGTTTTCCATCTAATTGGAAGAGCTTCTGATATTAAAAAAGCTTTCGACCGGTCAGTCAAACAGGATGTCTTCATAAGCACTACCACTAATATAAAAAAAACTATCAGACCGTTAAATATACATGTGCCATTATCACTTAAAGAGTAAATAATACACGACCACACGGGTTATAAACAAAGGAGTGACTATAATAGTAAAATAAACAGGTTTTACTCCATTTTACAAAACTGCATTAAGCAACTGAACATTTTTTTTTAAAACTTAGTTAACGCCAGCTTATTTATAACTAAAAGGTTAAAATATCAGAAAATGTTCCGTATCCTCTGGTATTTAAACCAGATGTAGATCTTTAACGATCCCAACTCATATGGGAGCGACTGTTTTACATCTCCTTTCGTGAGGGTCAAATGAATTATAATCTTCAGAGTGGTTTTGATAACAGAGATTTTCAGGAGATTCATTAAAATATTCTGAATCGTATTCATTCACGAATAATTCTTCAGAATTAAAATCGGGAGGTGCATTATTGCGATTTTGGAAATAGTTATTACGATTGAAATTTTAATTTTGTCTTCATGACAACATAGTGGGGTTTCTTGAAGTGGTCGACATCGGTGTTGGATTGGGTAGTTGATTGGGAAGGATTTGGTTAGGCCTGTTTATAGGAAACCTTCTAGGAGGCAATTGTCGAGGTTAAATATTAATTGGTTAACTTGGGAATAATTGATATGGAAAAAGACTATTTATAAATGGTTGTTGATTGATTGAAAATTATAATTATTAAATCTGGGTTCATGGGTTACTCGCTGATAACATATGGGATTTTGATTTTGAGAAAATGATTGTGTTGGCGTTTAAGATTGGCAATAATTATTATTACTATGTCTAAAAGTCGATCCTTTGTTTGGCTCATTAAAATTTCCATACAAATTTTGGAAATGTTCAAATTCTGTAACGTACACCATAGCATCCTTCAATGAAGCTGGTTTTTTTAGAAGCACACCCCTCGCCATACCTCATACTCTTTGATATAAGGCCTGCCAGCTGTGGTATGCAACTACGCGAGTAATTGTTTGAGCTTTACGGGTACCTCAACTTTCCTTAAAATGGTAATGAATCTAAAAATATTTGTGATTGTATTTGTGGTTTTATTATTTTTTAATTTCTAATGTAACTTTTTTCAATTTACACCTTATTCTTATCGTTCCTGAGGTTTAAACATTTTCTGCGCGTTACTTTTAGAGATAAGTTGAGGGATCAACAATTTTTTAACGTTTATTCCAAAGAATACCTAAATATATTTTATTTTTTAGTGGGACGTGCTGTACGTATCATTTTATCTTTTAGTTCACTGGAAATGTCATAGTTAGTCATGTGAACTTTAATTACAAATTTGATAACCCAAATTGCAAAAACGCTTTATCAAATAAGACACAAAATAAGCTTCTAATAATTTATTATAATCTTATCAGTATTTAGACAATTAAATAAATAATTTACAAGCACTATCAAATTTAATATATTCTAAGATTAGCCTCGAAGGTTTAATATGTTTATAAAATTAGATTAATTTTTTATTTAATTAAATAACAGGCAGTCTTTTAAAAATCATGTTAAATAAAATATATGTATATTTAAAAAAATATTATTATTCATAATCTGATAATTAAATATCATTGGTGTGCATCAAATTTCTGAAGGTGAAGATATTGTCTTCATGTATTATAATTAGTTATTACATTTTTAAAAGCATGATTTTGTCAAGCCAGAAATTAGACACACTTGGTATATTATGGAATATTTCCTACCCAAACCTACGTCACTTGTTCAATTTTATAACCCAATAAGAAAATATAATGATTTTTCGTATAGGGTTGGAGTACAAGAGGATTTTGTTAGGAATGAACAATTAATAAATTACATTTTAATAGAGCTTTATTCAATCCACATTTAAAAAAAACACTTTCTAATCAACAACGTACGAAATTATGAAAATAATATAAATCTAATTTATTTAACTTTCAAACAACCCTGTATATAAAAATTGAATTTAAGCTATCAATGCTTGAGGAATATTTGTAATTTGTTTTATACAGTGTCTCGAAAAGATCTAAAATATGCTGCAGGCAAAATTATGGTATAATTAGTAGGAATAATTTATTTAGGTGCTTAACAGAGAATTGGGATTTGAAAAAAAATTTACAAATATCCAGTAACGGTTCACTATTACCTCAATTATTTAGACAGAACTATGAAGGGGCCAGAAAGATTGCAACAGTTTATAGTAACCTACAGGGATTGAAATTGTTTTATTTTCTTTCATACTTCTAAGATGAATTTCTGTATATATAGGTAAATTCACTTAAAACAACTTATTTTCAGCTCTAGAAACTGTGGTTTAAATTTTAGGGTCACCCTGTATAATATATTTAGAGTTGTATCAACCTGTATGAGTTACATTGCATATTAAAAGGTGGCAATAGAAGTTAAATTTGAGTATTAATTGATATAATCGATATTTATCACCAGTAGGTAATTCCCCTTAAGTAACTTTAATAAATCTTTATAAACCTTTATAAACCTTTATGAACCTATATAAACCTTTATAAACCTTTATAAACCTTTATAAACCTTTATAAACCTTTATAAACCTTTATAAACCTTTATAAACCTTTATAAACCTTTATAAACCTTTATAAACCTTTATAAACCTTTATAAACCTTTATAAACCTTTATAAACCTTTATAAACCTTTATAAACCTTTATAAACCTTTATAAACCTTTATAAACCTTTATAAACCTTTATAAACCTTTATAAACCTTTATAAACCTTTATAAACCTTTATAAACCTTTATAAACCTTTATAAACCTTTATAAACCTTTATAAACCTTTATAAACCTTTATAAACCTTTATAAACCTTTATAAACCTTTATAAACCTTTATAAACCTTTATAAACCTTTATAAACCTTTATAAACCTTTATAAACCTTTATAAACCTTTATAAACCTTTATAAACCTTTATAAACCTTTATAAACCTTTATAAACCTTTATAAACCTTTATAAACCTTTATAAACCTTTATAAACCTTTATAAACCTTTATAAACCTTTATAAACCTTTATAAACCTTTATAAACCTTTATAAACCTTTATAAACCTTTATAAACCTTTATAAACCTTTATAAACCTTTATAAACCTTTATAAACCTTTATAAACCTTTATAAACCTTTATAAACCTTTATAAACCTTTATAAACCTTTATAAACCTTTATAAACCTTTATAAACCTTTATAAACCTTTATAAACCTTTATAAACCTTTATAAACCTTTATAAACCTTTATAAACCTTTATAAACCTTTATAAACCTTTATAAACCTTTATAAACCTTTATAAACCTTTATAAACCTTTATAAACCTTTATAAACCTTTATAAACCTTTATAAACCTTTATAAACCTTTATAAACCTTTATAAACCTTTATAAACCTTTATAAACCTTTATAAACCTTTATAAACCTTTATAAACCTTTATAAACCTTTATAAACCTTTATAAACCTTTATAAACCTTTATAAACCTTTATAAACCTTTATAAACCTTTATAAACCTTTATAAACCTTTATAAACCTTTATAAACCTTTATAAACCTTTATAAACCTTTATAAACCTTGATAAACCTTGATAAACCTTGATAAACCTTTATAAACCTTTATAAACCTTTATAAACCTTGATAAACCTTTATAAACCTTTATAAACCTTTATAAACCTTTATAAACCTTTATAAACCTTTATAAACCTTTATAAACCTTTATAAACCTTTATAAACCTTTATAAACCTTTATAAACCTTTATAAACCTTTAGAAACCTTTATAAACCTTTATAAACCTTTATAAACCTTTATAAACCTTTATAAACCTTTATAAACCTTTATAAACCTTTATAAACCTTTATAAACCTTTATAAACCTTTATAAACCTTTATAAACCTTTATAAACCTTTATAAACCTTTATAAACCTTTATAAACCTTTATAAACCTTTATAAACCTTTATAAACCTTTATAAACCTTTATAAACCTTTATAAACCTTTATAAACCTTTATAAACCTTTATAAACCTTTATAAACCTTTATAAACCTTTAAAAACCTTTATAAACCTTTATAAACCTTTATAAACCTTTATAAACCTTTATAAACCTTTATAAACCTTTATAAACCTTTATAAACCTTTATAAACCTTTATAAACCTTTATAAACCTTTATAAACCTTTATAAACCTTTATAAACCTTTATAAACCTTTATAAACCTTTATAAACCTTTATAAACCTTTATAAACCTTTATAAACTTTATAATGATTTGTTATTTTTTAAATAATAATATTAAAATTATCTTAAAACTACATTCATTTAACAAAAAATAATAAAAAAACAATAGGAATACAGCTTTATAAAAATATGAGTGATTTTGAATTTGAAACACAGTAAATTAAAAAAATCGTGTACGTACATATTTAAGGAATGGAACAGGTATAAGAGTATGTCCCCACAATGGACACTAAATTATTTTAGAGTTCTTAACTACAAATTGCAACGATGTCAAGTCCACAATGTTTTCTAATGTCTTGAAATATTTAAAAATTGGTAATAATTATTTTATGCATACATATTAACATAATTCGACTTCATTGAATTTCTGCAATGTTATTTACATTGCATTTGTTGCAATGTTGCCAACTCGCCAAATTTTCAAGCAATTCAGAGATATTTCCGCCACACAAGAAATTTAAGAAATATTTGAAATTCATAATTTTATTCAAAATTAACCATCTTCGTGATATTTACTGAAGGCGATGCTACGATTTCTTTCCAAAAACTGCTATGTCTGTCTATCTCGATTTTGCCTAGCATGGTCTTCTTTCCTACAATGGTTCTGGACATCAGTCTTATTAATATCTTTACTTGTCCTAGGTTGTATTTGTTGACTGTCGCTCTGAGCGTGGATGCAGGCGCTTCCAGTTTTAGACTTATGGTGGGCTCGAATTTGTCGCTTTTCATTTTTTGGATTAAGTCTTCGTCCTCGAAGGCCGTTATTTTTATGTAGAGTTGACCTGGAAATCAAATAAAAGAAGGTTAGTCTTTGATCTCAAAATAATTTGTTGTACTCTAAATAACAAATTTGCGTAACATTACTTATATAGTATGCGCAGTTCAAAAAATGTTCTATATACCTCCATAACCTTGTCAACAATAGATTTTTTAATTTTTGGAGGTGATTTTTAAAACATTGAGAGGACTTTTGAACTACGCATACTCGACACCTCTCATCTATTACGTCAACTGTCACATCATCTGGCAAAGTCAATGGTCAACCAATGAAGCCATGTCATAGTTGTCAAAGAGCTGTCGAAACTTTTGTGAATTTGGATATTTTGGACTAAATGTGCCTGTTTGGTTTGCTTCTACAAAAGTGCAACAAATACGGACTTGATCGTCATAATCATGTACCTACAGTTTTACTGTAAGCGTTTCAACAACCTTGTAGAAACTGACTGCAAAAAGTGGCATGATGTATTTTTTGGTTGTAATTTGTAGTTAGGTACAGGAGTGAACAACATGTACTATGTCCCGGTGGTGGGAGAACACAATTTGACGTGACCTTGTCTCATATATCCACCGATAGATGTTGCCATCAGTACCATAACTGCTGCTAGGTATTTACAGAAAAAACTGTCAATATTATGTTTCTAACCCTCCACTGTTGCCAACTCTGGACGGTAGCGAGTTCAACTCCTCATTGTTGTTCTATTGTTGTCAAACATGCATTGCTACCAACTCTGTATTGCTGTCAACCCTGCATTGTTGCCAACTGCACTTATTCCCTAAATTTTGGTTTTAAAGGTTGTTTTTATTAAATAAAAGAGACAAAACTTCAATCTGAACTTGTTTAAAAAAATTTAAACTGCATACCCGTGTCACAACTTTTTATACTTTTCCGTTAATATTTTACAACTATTTTACTTTTCAAAATTAGTGAATATCTAATACACAAATACGCTTTAAATTATTATTGTATTTCTTTAAGTTTATTTAAAATTTGTTAGGTAATATCTCAAAAACTGGTCAGCGGACGAAAAGATAGCCAATTTGATGGAAGGATATTTAATATTTACCTCCTATTTTTTCATGCAGCTGCATTGTTTGTAAGCTACATCGAAATTTGGTGACTGTAACTTCAACAACGTCGTTGGTGCCATCTTCGCTGACACCATATTGGAGGGTTAGTTCAATACTGCCTTTGGTACCATCTCTCTGAAAACAAAAAGCTTATTTGAATAATTTTTTATAATCATTGACTTTATATGTCGTAGGATGTAAAGCATGCATTAGAAAGTAGGTATATGAAGCTAAAAATGGTAAATCCAGTAGTAACCTTAAATATTCTGTAACAAAGTCCATTAAATTAGGTGACCAGAATTAAAAATGAAAATGCATTTCAACGTAAACTATCGATGAAATAAATTATTATTATTAATCATTAGGTTATGAACAGCAATAAGAAAAAATTCATGGAGGGGCAATAAAAAATCTTCAAAATAATTGACTTTATTATTTTAAAAATAATAACGAATTAAGAAAATTAAAAGGGTGACCACTCCGTCCCCCCCCCCCCCCCCCACCCCCCTCCGGACGCTTAAGCATTAGGTACCTATGGAAAGCGTCCAATGTCAACACAGATATCTTATTTAATTTGAAAAACTCATTTATATGTCAGTTATGACAACTATAAATGAGTGACCGTATTTTTTTCAAGAATATTGACGTATTTCGAAGCGTGTTTTAGAAGTATATTTTGGTTTAGTTTTTGATTTAAGAACGGTACCTATTAGATAAAATAACTTTCGAAGCCTTGTGTTTTAGAAGTGCACGGTATTAGATAAAATAACAATATTGTATGTATTTTATGTTTTTTTTTGTAATTCACAATTATTTCCCACAGACCATCAATATTTTATGAATATACTAAGAACGTTCCTCACAGTAGGTATGTCCTTTTTAGAATGCATAATCTTAAAAAGTAAATGCTAAGAATATGATAGGTTTATAATTGGTCATATGGGTTTAAATTTAGATAACAATGACATAGGTAATTAAGTTGCTTTTTCATAGTTCATAATCTCATGAATATTGACCGATGTCTGAAGGGAGCTTGTTTGTGAAGATTATTTGTATTTTTAATTATTTTTTTTTAACATTTTCATGTGTTTAAATGCCATTAGTAAAGATTAAATTAACTAAACGTCATATTGTATTTAAAATCAAATAGATTGAAACTGTATTTCTTGAAGGGCCGCCCCTTTATATCTGGCTAGGACAGACGCTAAATCCTTACTCTAATCATAAATATCACAGTCCCATAAATATTAATTTATTGAAATTTTATTAAAATATATAGTTCAATAATGTAGGATCGCTATGTTTAAAATCATATTTTTGAACTTAGTTTCACATCGGTTCCGTAGTGTAGCGGTTATCACGTCTGCTTTACACGCAGAAGGTCCCCGGTTCGATCCCGGGCGGAACCACTTTTTTGTTTTTTTTTTTTAAATGTAAATAAATAGAATTTATATTTTCTTTTTAATTTTCACAAAAATCCGCTATGGCAACTAATTTATTTCCTTATTTTTAATGATAAAATTAGTTGTTTATTTGAGTTTATAATTTAATTTACAGAATAAGAAAATCCAGGAACACATAATAGCCTATATGTTACATTATTATTATTATGTTCGAAAAAGTTTTATCTTACATTTAAGAAAAAAATTCGTTAGAAAATATACTGCACCATTTGAAAATCCATAATCAATCGAGTATAAAATTTTGTAAAATATAAAATAATGATTTATACAAATATTCTATTCTATTCAAAGAACGTATTATAAGAATCATGATTTTCTTTCGACCTCGAGTTTTCGACAGTTTTTTACGTTTTGGGGTCCCCTGAAGGGGTCGATTTTCTACTTTATATACACTGGGAGAAGAAAATTCTTCAAATAAACGTTACTTGTGATGCCATTCTCTATAATTTTTGTCATAAGATTCTAGAAATTTGACAAAATGCGCAAAATTCAAATTTTTAAGAAAATTGTTGCTTCTCCATATTTTTTTATACAGAATTTCCCAAAAATAGAAAAATTTGAGGAAAAGTGCAAATTTCGAATTTTAAAGATAACTCAAAAACTGATAAAGAGAAAAGAAACAAATTATAAACTTAGGTTTTAATCTATTTTGCGAGATGAGCTGATTAAATTTTTGACATAGTCATCTGGGGAGGACTTTATATGTTTCGCTTTTTACTTCTGGAAGAAGACCTTAAAGAAGCGTTGATAGGAAAAATGATGCATAAAATTGCACATTAAATTTTCCTGCCTTGATAAAATTTTACAACTACGACATATATATGACCTTTTTACTTTCCTATCTGTCTCTCTCTCTGTGTGTGTGTGTGTGTGTGTTTATGTGTGTTGTGTGTGTGTGTGTGTTGTGTGTGTATGTATGTGTGTGTATGTATGTGTTTGTGTGTTGTGTGTGTATGTATGTGTTTGTGTGTGTGTTGTGTGTGTGTGTGTGTGTGTGTGTGTGTGTGTGTGTGTGTGTGTGTGTGTGTGTGTGTGTGTGTGTGTGTGTGTGTGTGTGTGTGTGTGTCTGTATCCACCATAACTCATGAACCGATACAAATAAAAACACCAAATTTTAAACTTAAGCTTTATTCCAGTGAACTGATTAGATTTTGGGCAGAGTCGGAACATTTGGGGGGGGGGGGGGTACTTTATGGGTGGTCATTTTTATATTTTATAAAATATATCCGTTATTTACGTTTTGAGAAAAAAATTCTTCAAATAAAAGTTACTTATAATATTATTATCTATAATTTTTATTATATATAAAATTTTCCTAAAATGGTCCGTATTCGAGAAATTTGACAAAATATAAAAAAATTATTTTTTTATAAAAATTGTTTAAACAAAAGTTGTTTGTAATATAATTCTCTATAATTTTTATTCCATACATAATTTTTCTAAAATGGGTATTCGAGATATTTGAGAAAATGTGTAAATTTCGAATTTTGAAAAAAACTCAAAAACGGATAAAGGAAAAAACATTAAATTTTAAACTTAAGTTTTATTTCGGCCTGAGGTGAAATGATTAGATTTTGGACAAAGGCGGAACGTTTGGGGGGGTACTTTATGGAAGGCCGTTTTTATATTTTATGGAATATATTTGTTATTTATGTTTGGAGAAGAAAATTGTTTATATAAAAATTACTTACAATATTATTATCTATAATTTTGGTTGTATACAATTTTTTTTTAAAATGGTCCGTATTCGAGAAATTTGACAAAATGTATTAAAATTCAAATTTTTAGGAAAATTGTTTAAATAAAAGTTATTTGTGATATCGATCTCTATAATTTTTGTTTTTTATATGATATTTCTAAAATGGACCGTATTGAAGGAAAAGTGCTAAATTTAAATTTTTCAGTATTTTCGTTTTCAATGAATATCTATAGAAAAATGTTTCGAGTTAGATGTATGTGGGAAATGTATATATTTAGTTTATCCTCTAAACATTTATAGAGGTGCTGCAATAGGTTGTACAAAATAACCGGAAAAAGCCTATAATAACTAGATAGGAAAGTCATGTGTAGGACACATCAGATTTTTTAAGTCCCAAATGATAAATTATATTTCACTTAACGTCCATGACCCGGAGATATAAACTTCATTAGTCCTGTCCCTCCTGACTTAAAGATTAAGTTGTTAAAAGCCTGATTAACACCACACATATAACTTTATAGCAACCGTAATACTAAAAATAGCTACTTTAGTTTACCTTCCCTTGACGCCTCACGGTTGGAACTGGTGAGGCGTCACTCTTGGCGGGAAGAACTCGATACCCTTCCACTGCTTCAAGCTATATAAAGTTGTAACAGAACAAATAGATGAGCCGAAAGTGGCAGGTACGATTCATATCTACACCGAAGCTTCTAAAACAAAACAAGGCTCAGGATGTTGATTATACTCCAGATCCTTAAACCTAAACATAAAATGGAGTGTGAGCAATAGTGTGAGTGTACTTCAAACCGAGCTAACGGAGATTCTCATAGAAGGAAAAGAAATTACCAAACACAATATCACTGGGAAATGCTATTGGCAATATTATTGGAAGAAACACACTCATCTGTATAGATAGCAGAAAAGTACTACTCACTCTAGACAGACTACGAATTTACTCAAAAATAGTACCAGAGTATCACGAAGCTTTGGCCGATATATCCATCAATATTGTGGTTGATGAATCAAAAAATTCACCACTTCAAGAGGTAACCGTCATGCTGATTCACTAGTCAAGAAGGGACCTGGTCCTTTCATTGGATTGACAACATCGGTATCAATAAACCTAAACCTAATTTAAGAACATTTCCTTGTGAAATTCAAGGAAAGGCTAGATGAAACAAGAAGCTGCGGAGTTGCCAGAGAGCTTTTAAAAAATACTTGACTATGACTAGACAGAATCTGAGCCTGTTTCAGCTTTTTATGTCATTTGCACATAGTTTAAACTATTAAATAATGTTTTATAAAAAGCATGTTAGTAAATACAACTTAGTTTTATTTAAGGTAAGTTCTTGAGTGGAAAAAATTATTTCCCGAAATGTTCAAAGTACTCTAAGCAAACCCTACTGTTTCATGAACATGGCTATCTGAGATTAAAAGAAATTCTTTTGTCTCCTTTTGTGAGGTTAGAGATTAAAATGTTTTATTTTTTAAAGGTAAGTTGTTAGGTAGTTCCCAACCCGAATATCGAGTTTATAATTTTATATTGAGATTGTAACTTGGCTTGGAGTATTGGGGTATTTGGGGATCAATGACCTTAGGCGACTTAGACTTTGTGGTTAAATTCTACAATTTCACCAGTAAAAACATCAACAAATTAATATTTTACATCTACTAAATAAATAAACAATTCTCAAATAGTTCGACTGCTTTTTACCCTAATATAATGTGAAGTCATAAAACTGTAAATAGCATTTTTCTCAGAATACCGAACGTCGAACACCTGTGTTTTCAGGTGCACAGCGGTGCATTGGAACAAAATGAGTGTCCGGCGCATAGTTAACGAAGCACAAATGACGTATTTCATTATGTCATGATGTTTTCATTGGTTGAAACCGAATAGGTGCGTCAACTATGCCCCGGACACTCATTTCGGCCCAACAGTATATATTAGGGTGAGCTCGACGCGAAGTTCA